AGGCCCAGAGTTCAGGCCCCACGACCGGACCCCACATCCCAAAAAAAAGATATATGCTTAGTCTATTTAAATGCTGTAATGATATATCAGTTCACATTAGTGCTATTGCAGTGAACTCTGAGAACATTCTAACTTTGAATTTATGATACCTCCAAGAACCTACCACCCTCCATAGGAGGAGCACACTAAGATCACAGACCAGAGGACGTTAAGTTGATTGCATGCTAGGTTGAACTGTTCTCTCAATTCAGTGATTCACAAATAGAATGATCTTATTCATACTTCCTGTGCCTTGATTTTATCATGTCATTATAGTTAATTTTGTATTTTGGTTAAAAATTATTTGTATTCTAGATATCATAGGATGTTATTGAAAATATAATTTACTGTCACATAAAAATATTTTAAAAACCAGGTGTCCAGAGTCAGACATATCTGCATACCAGCAGAGTCATATGAGCCTTCTGATTCTTCATCTGTAAAATAATAGTATTCAACCACAGAGTATTGAGGATATAATAATCATAAAGTACGTTGTATAGTATGTCTAATATAGTACTTTAGCTACACCCTCGATCAATGACAATAACCATCATTTTTGTTATGATTGTTAATCCTATGTTGAACAGGAAACATTTTAAGTAAAAAAAAAAATCCACATGTTAATCAGTAAAGCTAACCTGGAGTAGGAAGTAGAGCTCAGTCTGGTCTAGAAAAGCACCCCCACTCCACCATTGCTTCAGTTTTCTAATCTGCAGCCACAACTCGGCACCAGCACATTCATGTGCAGAACCAAACTGCTTGTCATCACCTATAAACAAATGGAGCCAGAGATTGTCTTGAAGGTGCTGGAGATGGGTTGCAGAGCTTTACACAGGCTGAGCTGAGCTCATTCTTTACCACTGAGCTATACCTTCATGACCTAGAACCAGTCTTAAAGCTATAATACATTAAAAAATGAAATAATCCTATTCCTTCCCTCTAATTCAATTACCTTGGATAAATTAATCTGCCTTCCTAGGCCTCTATGGTGATTTAACCCAGGACCTTGTACAAGCTAGATGAGTGTTCTAACACTTGAGCCACATCCTCAGCTCGTGAATTTTTCAAAGCATAATATAAAAGGAGTATCTTGTAATCAGTGAAGGTTACTAAGTAGGTAAGCAATACCTATTATTATTTAAATGTTTAACTAAGAAATAATGAAGACACTAGAATGTATTTTAATATGACATGTCAGAAAAACATAAAAGCTAATTTGGGTTATCAAAGATCATTTCCATTATGTTAAAAAAGACTGGCTACTTACCATTTCTTAACATAAGTTTTGCACCCTTTAAAATTCATAGTGAGTGCTTAAAATTCATAAAGAGGCTTAGATGATTTCATCATCTTCTATTGAAACTCTATTGATTTCCACTTTCTATTTTGAGAAAACAAGATTTTTGGAGGTAAATACATATCAAAAGGAGATGGACATGACTTTAAAAATATGATGGTTACAATATCAAATGGGCTGATTTTTTAATGAAAAATATCACAAATGACTTAAAATTTGCTATCATTGAATATTATGACTCATAAAAATAGAACATAAGAAAGATACAAGATTATATTCTAGATTATGTTATAAAACTATTGAAGCACTAATAAGCACTTATGCCATATGATCAAATGGTTTGGTAAGAATAATCTCTCTTCTTCCAATATTTACTGTCTTCTTTTTATTTTTCATCATGGGGCTTGAACTCAGGGCCTGAGGACTGTCCCTGAACTCTTTTTTTAAAATAAGTTTTTTATTATGAAAATACTGTACAGAGAGGTTACAATCACATGAGCAAGGAAATGAGTACATTTCTTATCAAGCATTGTTGTCTCCTCCTTTGTTTTTCCCTTACCATCCCTTCCCTCCCATCTCCACAACTACATTCTCCCCTACCCCTTCGCCCCCCCACCCCCCGGCCTAAATTGTAAAGTTCCTTTTTCGACATAGTGTCTTGTATATCTCATTGTTGCAATGGGTTAACCTGTATCCCTATTTAAACAATTTGTTTTTTCCCTTCTGCTCCCCAAATTATACCAGCATCAAATACAGTGAAAACAGGGGTTATACCGTGGGGGAGGGACATACAAAGCAACCAAAAAAAAATCACGTGGTACCTTATAAATATGTTAGAAACAATAGCACGAAAGAAAAAAATACTTTGTGTCCTTATCTTGGGGTTCATTTTGCTTAACATCATCTTATCTGACCTCTTCTGCTTGTCTCAGATATATACTAGTTATTGCAAATAAGGAAAACCATGGGACCTATGTTTCTTTGCGCCTGGCTTACTTCACTGAACTCTTTTGCTTATGGCTAGTGCTCTAGCACTTTGAGTCAGAGCTCCACTTCTGATTTTTGAATAGTTAATTGGAGATAAGAGTCTCACAGAGACTTTTTTGCCTGGCCTGGCTTTGAACTTCAATCCTCATATCTCAGACTCCTGAGCAGCCAGGATTACAGGTGTGAGTTACCAGTGCCTGGCTCAATTTTTACTTCTTAATCTAAGAGAAAATTGGAAGGGCTGATTTAAGGGCTGAGGGAAACCTACAAATTATTCCAAGCACAAGTTTAAAAGAAATGATCAAAAAGTTGAAATAAATATATAATACTTGTATAAGCCATATCCCATGAAGTGAATGGAAACAAAAATGGCAGGCAGAGGAATTACTTGTGGCTCCTCTCTTCATAGCAGATATTTGATATCAGATAACCTGTCCACTTTCTAGATCAATTCTTTAAGTAATACACTGTCATTTTCATTTTTATTATAAGGAAATATGAAATTTATAAAGATTGGGTAACTAGACCAATAATTGCTTATTCATTCAACATTATTTTAGACTCTTGGGAGATATTAGCGATGTAAAGAGACAAAAAATTCTGCCTTTATTGAGCTTATACTTTTTCAAGGAAAGAATTATAACAAATATAAAATAGAAGATGAGCACCAGAAAAAAGAAAAGGAGATGAGGAATCCAGGGATTGAGGAACTTGCCTTTTAGATAAAATTCATTACATGTTTGTGAGAGTGACAGTCTAAACCGGAAAGAAAAGTCAAAGATGCTAAAGTGTTACATATGTGGCAGGCCAGGGGAGGAGAGAAAGCATTTTAGGCCTAGGAGAAGCTAAAGTGAGTAACCCAAGGTAAGACCACACCTGAAGAGAACAGAGAAGTAAAAGCAGAATGAGCAAGGGAACTGGGGAGAAGTTAGAGCTTCTGTAGAGGTAAATATCAATGGGGATCATGACAACCACCCATTGCACTTGATTTATGTCCTCATGGGGAGATTCACTGCAGGGTTTACAACTGAGGAGTGATATGTTATGTATAGCACATGACATGCTGTAAATGCATTTTTCAGGCTGTTAGGCTGAGAAAGCTCAGAGAAGGGAAGGGCAGTGGGAGAGGCAGTAACTGGGATGCTATGCAATTATCTAACTTGGCTCTGTCCAGGTTGATTGCAATAAAAGCAGTAAGACTTATCTGGTTTCTGGATATAAGGGCAACATAGAACAAAAAGAAACCTTGAGCAGATTCACAACTTTTGGCTTTTGCATCAGAAAGAAGGCTGAGTGTGGAACAAGTTCAGGGAGCATGATAGCTCAATTTTGGACATGTTGAGCTCGACATATTCATTACATACCCATGTTGAGATGCAGAGGAAGCATTTGGATATACAGAATCTAGAGCCAGAAATCTAGAGCACTCTCTTCATGAGGAGTAAATTTAGGAATCATCAGCATATGAGTAGATAATTCATTACTAAGATAATGAATAGAGATAGAGAAAAACACAGAACAGCAGGTCAACAGTGGACACAATTGGAAGAAAACATTCGATCAGGCCATAATTTCAGAAATATCACTGTTCCTCTTATAATATTAAAATATATGGATACAGCACATTATTCAAGAATGTTAAAGACTGATTCACAACCTGCAAGAATACTTTTGAGGTCATCAACAATATGGCTTACACTTTGGGCCAAACAAGCCACAAATGCATCCAAACACTTGGATGAATTTTTTTCTTTGAATAACCTCATTCTCCACTATATAAAACATACAGAGTATACATAATACATAATACAATTATAGAGAAAAAACTAGAGAAAGTAAGAAGCCAATTACCAGGTAGAAGTTCTTCCAAATGTGTCCATATGACTTTGTAAATAAAAAGAAAGTTTCTATCATTACAGGAGTCTGAAAAGCCTAAGATTTCAAACACGTACTAATTCCTTGATTACTTGAAAACAAGATGTACTTCACTTACTCAACTTACATAGTTTCATGCAAACAAATTATCTTGTCCTTTCTGAAATGTGTAAACCATGCCTTTCCCCTCCTGTTTAGTCTGGGCCAAAGGACACTGCCTGGCAGAGCAAAGAGTGTTCAGAAACAGCCAAGTTCCCTCAAATGTTAATTATGTAACAGATGTTAAGAAGAGTATTAGCTGCGGGGCCACACAGGTTTAGTCATTTTGAGCAGTTTTAAGCTTGCTTACAGAGGTGAGGCTTTTGGTCACTGGAACCCACACTTTAAGAATCAGATACCAGAATTATAGCACAGGATGAAATAACCAATATTATTCCATCCATTGTGGCCGAGGAAGGTCACTTGCTGTCTGTCTGAGGTTTTGTCCAGGCTAAAAGCGAACCCTAAGGAATCCCAACCCTGTACCCCACGATTTTACCAGCGTTGTCCTCTTTTGTACCCTCTATAGTTCAAAAAACATAAACAGTGGGGCAACTATTCTGCTTTGCCCCCACATCTCCTCCGCGCGGAGGGACGATGTGGTGACGTCCTTCCTGGCTCCGCCGGGACACCTCTTCCCGGTCCCCGCCGCCGTCCCGCCCTGCGCGGCCCGCGGTCCCCGCAGCAGCCGGAGCCCCGCGCGCCACGGCGCACGCTCCGCACTCGGAGCAGGCGCGTCAGGCGCTCAGAGGGCGGGCGGCGGGGACCGAGCTGGCCCCGCGCTGCGCCCGCTGCAACCGAGCACCACAGCACCTTGGCCCTTGCCGCCGCGGTCTGGCCTGGCGGCTGGGACGCAGAGCGGAGTGCGGCCGGGTAAGCGCGGGGCGCTGCGCTTAGGAGGCTGGGGCTAGAGAGGACCGGCCAGACGGCGGCGGGAATCTGGGGGCAGAAATGCTCGGCTTGCCCGTCTGTCGTGGGTCGCAGCCGGCGTGGCGGGCCGCGGGAGCACTGCGGCGTGCGCGGTGGGGGGGAGGCCGGCTGTCCTGCACCCGGGGAGCGGGGTGCGGGCGCCGGGCCCTGCAGCGCGTCATCGCTGCGGGAGGGTGTCCTGGGAGACGCTGGCTCGCTGGAAGGTGCCCAGGCCCCGGGGCAGAGAGAAGGAGATCGGCAGGGTGGGTGCCACCCAGGGATTGGGTGGCAGTGGGCAAGGCCCCGCTGCTCCTCTGGGTATGGGTTGTCACAAGTACTTGCTGCGGTGGTCCGCGCAGTCCGGGAGAAGCAGGTGCCTTTGGCGTGGGGGAAGGGAGCGATGATTGCAAGTTGATAAGAGACAACTTTCGGTTGACTGTGGTTCTCAAGGGTTGTCTTTAAGGATGTAGGGGGATCTCTTCCTGCATTGCCTTGTAGATGCAAAAGATAAATGTAGGGGAAATAGCCTGGGAGAAGGGGACACAAAAACATGAACGGACTTGCATATTTGTGAGGCAGAGGGAATTAAGTAGCATGAAGGATGCGACAGGTCTTAATGGTCTGAATAAGGCAGAGGGAAACAATTTCAGCTTTGGAAATTAAGAATGACAAAGGAGTTGAATTTTCCAGTGTTATTAGATGCTTCAAGACTAGCTGCTGTTCTTGTTTTTGATGCATCAGACTCTGGCAAGAATGTAATTCTCTTTTGAGCATAAACCATTTTTTTATCAACGTGTAGCTAAGAAGATTATTTGGAAGAGTGTGACCATACTTGCCATTTGGTTTCCTGTAATAGCGTTTGGAATTTCTAGAGAAATCTTTTTGATGATAAATGTTATCACATGACTAGGAAAGCCAAGACACTAACTTAATGGAATATTTATGTGTCTTTTGGGTTAAAAAGTTGCTTGAAAATTTAATGTGTATAAATAAAAACACAATAGATTTAGAGTGTGAAACTTTGATACTGAAATTTTAGCTTTGTCAGTTAATACAAAGAATTAAATGAATGTACCGTTTTTGCATAGATAATTCAAAGAGATATTTTGAAGAAAACAAAAATTAATTCAACTGTACTAGTCAGGCACAACCATTTTAGCATGAGGTATCTCTGTCAAATTCAATATCGATTTATAATTTATAACCCTAGAGTCAAAAATTTTATCCATTAGGCCTCACTGCAGCCTTGTTTTCTGTTTATCATATTAAAGTGACTTTTAAAGTTGTATTTTAAAAGACTTCACTACTAAAATTTAAAAGACTTTATGTGGATAGTTTATATATCTATATCTATCTCTTTAAACATACTACATGTGAATATATAGTGATGTAGAACCATGTAAAATTGAGTTGCTCTATGGTTACTAATGTTTCTTTTTACAGTGACTCATATATTTATCATTTGCTTGATAACTGCAAATATTTTCATGTTCTCTCTTGCAGATTGATCTCCAATTTCACTTTTCAAGATGAAGCTTTTATTGACAATCACCTTTTTTATTTTAATTTCTTTGTGGGTTGAAGAAGCATATTCTAAAGAGAAGTCTTCAAAGAAAGGGAAAGGGAAAAAGAAGCAGTATCTGTGCCCTTCGTATGTTCTTCATGTCTTATATCCTTATAGAGAGAATGTTACAGCATTTTTGTTATAAAAGCAAGATCACTTATTAAAACACACATTCACAGAACTTTTCACACCTAATTATATGCTTATTTATTCCACATGTAGAAAATGACAGCTTGGAAAGAGGTTGAGAATGTGATAGTTGTTTTCTTGTGCTAAAGATAATGTCTTATAAAGTTTTGTTTATGCTCTGGGTTTATATAATTTTCTACACAATTTATAAAATCAGGAAATAGTCACTTTGTTTTCTTATGCTAAATATATAACTTTAATAGACCATTGAGGTTCCATATTTTCAGCAAATAACAGCTCAAAAAAGTAATCCAAAAATGAATGTGCATTTAAAAAGTCATGAAACTACGATATGAATGTTTATTTAGTTTATATTTTACATGATAGAAGAAAATTTATTTTTATGTAAAATTCCTACTTCAATATTTATTGTAAAAGACTTATATTAGGAAATTAGCATATGTCTGAAAAAGTATGTCAACAAAACTAAACCCAGGTATATTGCCTCCAAAAGATAAATTTTAGCATCTGATTTTAATAGGAAGAGTTAACATTACTGGCTAATAATAGCATATAAAGTTCAGTAGAGCAGTTGAATAGTATATCCTTAAATAACATTGATAAAATATAATGTGCTGGAAGAACTAATACAATATATACAGAGATCTGTAATAAAAAAAAATTCTGCTACAGGTTATTTTTCAATGAAGAGTTCTGAAATACTGATTACTAACATTATATTCTAGCCCCATCATTTCTTAATCTTACAGATGCTCTGTAAAAAACATAAAACTTTATTTTATGAAGTTTATTATATGAGACAAGGATACTGGAATTGGCATTTTGTAATTGATACTTGAATGGATGCGAGAAACTGAGTTGTGGAGACTCTAACATTAACTAAGGCCCAGAAAAAGCATCCTGACTATATCTCTCACAGTAATATTTACTCAGCCAGACTCCTGTATGTTTTACAAGATAGTCTTCAATTACAGATGGCCGTATGGCCAGTTGGGTATCAACTGGGGGCCTATAGTCACATCATTTGTAGTTTCATCAACACCTGACTGCCAGATTTTATGACATAAACAGAACATTTGCACTGGAGAGAACGAGACATTTTTAGACCTTGTTCTTCAAGGGGAAATTTTTTTCCCAAGTTTTAGATATTGCCTATTTTAACCTTTTATTGGATAAGGATGAACATGTTGACATATTATGACAGATTTCATGTAATCATGGTGGTTTTCTGTGGGATCAAACTGTCTTGGGTAAGTCAGGTGTCCCTATATGAGGAAACAGGGCTTGTTCTCTCACCCATACCAAAGCCCCCACCAAAAGTCATAATGTTGCCTGCACTCCTGGCTCCTGATGGTAATCTTAGCTACACAGGGGGTTGAATTCCGAGGACAGCAGTTTGAAGCCAGCCTGGACTGGAAAGTCCATGATACTCTTATCTCCAATTAGTCACCCAAAAGGCAGATTTAGCCATGTAGCTGTACCTGAGTTCAAAGCCCTGAGTTCAAGGCTAGTAGTGGCATGCGCAAAAAAGTCAATTGATATGAAGACTACAACAGCAAGTCTAATTACTACTATATATCTTACATGAGCATCTTAGAGAATGTTCTATATCTTTTCCACAACTATGCTTTTAAGTTGCCTCACTGAAGTGTAGGTATGATGTATATAGGTCATTGAGACAGAGTTTAAAAGTTGTATTTTGTAGGTAGAGAATGAAAAAACAGAATATACTAATCATGAAGTGGAAGAGGTGACTGTACTCATGTTATAATACTTTAGATGGATTGGTAATTATTGAAATTTTATCTCTGAAACTTTCTACCATAGTCTTAAAACTAATGTTTTATATTTATTAAATGTTGAACAATAGTTACAGTGGTGATGCAGCCATCAATCTGGCTGATTAAAAAGTAGACGTACCATGGAGAAACAGTGTTGTATGTTTTGTTTCATCTCTTTAGTTAAGAAATCTCATTGGGCCTAGTGGTATACTCTTGTAATCCCAACGATTGGGAAACAAAGGCAGTCGAGTGAGAACATGATGAGAACCCATCTCAAAATGCTGGGTGATGGTGCTCATGCCTGTAATCCTAGCTACTTAAGAGGCAGAGATCTGAGGATCATAGTTTGAAGCCAGCCTGGGCAGGGAAGTTGTGAGACTCTTATCTCCAATAAACTACTCAGAATAAGCTGGAAGTGGGGCTGGAGCTCAAATGGTAAAACACTAGCGTTGACCAAAAGAAGCTCAGGGACAGCACCCAAGCCCTCAGTTCAAGCCTGAGGACAGGTTAAAAAAAAAAGAAAGAAAAGAAAAGAGAAAAAAAGAACAAAAGCAAAAAGGAAGAAAAGCAATCTGACTGAATTATCACTGATTTGTGAACTGTAGAGAATTAGGTTTTCCTTGGTTACCATTGGCTTTATCATAGCAAGTTTCTGTAGACACTCTGGTTAAGAATCTCAACTATAATAATGAGCTGTGCAAGATTATGCAAGTTGCTTGTTCTTTAGAAAATAATCTAGTTGCACATTTTGTGTACATTAATTAGCTATTAAGCATCTTGAATAAGGGAAGTATTTGACATTACAAAACCTAGAAGTTATGTACAGATTATGATAATACATGATATTTTGATGCATTTAAACGTTTTTGAGTATCCTGGATGAATGGAATACATAAATAAATATATATATATAGTTGATGTGTTGCCAATAAGACAAGATCTTCCTGTTTTATAGTTATTACAGTAGTTTTTTCCCCAAAGTTGATAAGTACTTGAATGTTCTTGCTTTAAATTCAGAGAAATGCATTGTTTTCATTCCTTCATATTATAGGATATAATTTGGATATTGAGTTCAAGTTAAATAAGTATTTTCTTGGCCTTTTCCTTTTTCTTTTTTAACCCACATTGTTTTGAAATACTAAAAATTACAACGTGATGCTAAGATTCCTTATTATTTAGTTATATATAACCAAAGCAACCATTTGAGAATCTCAAAGTATGTTGAATTTGGCAATGATATTAAGACCTTGGTCTTAGTTCCAACTTTTTATTCTGCCTGAGTGATGTTATGCAGATTCATGACTGTGAATGCCACCATTCACTGTTAACTCCAAGTCTGTGTCCAGCTCAGACCTCTCTAGAAAGCACCATGCCCTCCATCCCACCTATCCCATCATGACCTTAGACTCACCTCAAAATCATACAGTCTGAACTCAGGACTCCTTCCCACCATTCCCCAACTATTCGCCTTTGCCTTTTCCAGTGAAGGACACACTACCGTCTTTGCTATCCAAAACAAATCCAGAGGATAGCACTAGATCTTCTCTTTCTACCTTAGCTTCTCAATTTCAGCTATCATAAAACTTATCAATTCAAGATGTTTACCATTTATGGTTCCTTTTCATTCTTGTGTGAATGTTGCTGTAATTATTTATCTCTATCCTCTTACATGCATTCTGTTTTTGTTCCCTTCTTCTTGTCTTCCTCATGATTCTAGAGTCTATTTCCTACTCTTTAAATCTAATCAGGTCATTTCGATATTGCGAAACCTTTAAGAGACTCCATATCTTTTTGTGAAAGAGTCCAATTTCTTGGCATCACACATTGTCTCTTTAAAAAATATGTGTATTATCTGTAAGTGTTTGTACAAAGGATTTGCCATTCACTAAAGAGTTTATGTACAGAGTACATTTTGGTCAATGTTACTCCTTTCATCATTCTTAAGCATACCTTCCAACCTACCTTTTCCCTTTGTAGGATATGTGATGAACGCTTTTTTACACGTAGTCTCTTGAGCTGGCCTCCCTAGGAGAATCTTCTTCATCCTGGCTCCAGATCCTATTACATTGCATGAGTGAATCATGTCTCATCTATGCTTGAACTTTCTCATCTCTGCAAGTGTTCATTTCTTTACTTAAAATATCACTACTTTCCTTCTTCCTTAGTTAACTCCTGCCTCAGTGGTGTGCGCAAATTTATAGCTATAGCTATAGTTCTCATTTATTCACCACTGTTTCCTTGGGGCCATGCTCTATCACTGAGTTACTCCCTTAGCCTTCTTTTCTTATTTTGGTTGTCTAAATTAGGTAGTCACATTCTGAACCACCACAATTCTCAACTTGCCTTTCAGGTTCATAATACTTTATAGTACTCATGAGTTTTAATTGTATGTTTTTTCCCCCTTAAATTGTAAACTCTTGGGAACTGTCTTATTTCACTCAATGACCAGAGAACAAGAGAGTTGCACAAAATATCTGTTATCAGAGCCTAAGCATAAGCATCTTTGTCTATCTCTTATTGCATCACTAATATCTGGATTTTCTCTAGTCATTTAAAGACAATCCATATATCCCTGTGAAGAATGCTTAGAAATGTGGCATCAAATCAAGAAAATGAGAGGAATAGTTTCATTTTGGATTATGGTTTCTGTTTGACTTTCAGTCTTACCATTTTCAGTTTTTATCAATCACTAAAAAAAAAAACCACAAAGAGGAAATGAAACATTCAGTCAAGCTGAGGGCACATTGTTTTGAGACCTGTAGTGAGTCATATCCTAAAGGAGGAAAGTGATGTCCAGGTCTGATAACACCGAGGTAACAATTACAGATTGCTTTAGAAATCACTATTTTGACTACAGTTTGGGTGAAAACAGGTTGGCAGAAAATATTTGGAAAAATATTAGATAATATAATGATGACATAAAAGCATATGTGTGTATAGTCTTCAAAAAAGGAATTATTTTTATTTTACTAATTCATTCTTAAGTATATAACTTTGATCCATAGAATTACTTAAGGTTCTAGTTAATATTTTCAGGAGAGAGAAATAATAGAAGCAATTAAGTCATGTCATAGTAGGTAGAGCTGAAGGAGCTCAGATAATTAAAAGTGTTTTCAAATGTTTAAAAGAACTGTGATGTGCATGAGAAAGTACATA